TGTCTCTTTCCTTTGCCAGGTTAGGGAAGTTTTCAGTCATTATTTATTCAAATAGGTTCTCAATCCCTTGTTTTCTCTCTTTTCCTTCTGGTACCCCTATGATGTAAATGTTGTTATGCTTCGTGTTATCCCAGAGGTCTCTTAAACTATCCTCATTTTAAAAAAATTCTTTTTTCTTTTACTGTTGTGATTGGGTGTGTTTTGCTACCCTGTCGTCTAAATTGTTGATCTGACCCTCTGCTTCATCTAGACTGCTGGTGATGCCTTCTAGTGCATTCTTCACTTCAGTTTTTTAATTTATTTTTTATGGTTTCTATGTCCTTTTTATGCTTGCTGTCTCTTTGTTGAAGTTCTAAGTTCCTGGAGCATCCTCATAACCATTATTTTGAACTCTGTCTCTGGTAGGTTGCTTGCCTTCATTTTGTTTAGTTCTTTTTCTGGAGTTTTCCCCTATTTGGGACACATCTCTGTTTCCTCATTTTGGCTGTCTCTCTGTGTTTGTTTCTATGTATGGGGTAGATCTGCTATGTCTCCCAATCTTGGCCGGGTGGCCTTATATACTAGGTGCCCTGTGGAGCCCAGTGGCACAGTGTCCCTGGTCACCTACGCCTGGTGCTCCAGGAGTGTCCCTTGTGTGGGTGTGTGTGCCCTCCTGTTATAGTTGAGCCTTGATTGTTATTGGCATGTCAGTGGGTGGGGCTGACCCTCAGGCTGACTGGCTGTGGGGTCTGGCCACGTCCACAGCTTATGGGATGCTGTGCAGGGGGCTTATGCCACACAGTGGGATCTGGTGCCTGTTGAGACCACTCTTTATGAGTATGCTGCTTGTGGGGCTAATTGGGTGGTATCTGCTGTAGTATGAAGCCAGTCTCCAAGTATTTTGGTTTTTGGTCCTCTTGAGAGAGGCTCTGGTGCAGGCCCAGGTCAGCCACTGCCGGTGACTGGCCAAGGACTATCTGGTAGGAGCTACAAAACGATCCATGGCTGGTCGCTGCCTGCGCTACATCTGGTGGCACATGGGAGAGGCCATGAACTCTGTATCTGGTAGGTTGCAAATCAAGGACAGCTGCCACCATACTGGGGTAACTCTGCAAAAAGCCAGAACACCCAGAGGCCTGCTCCTGCCTGCCAGCTCCCATAAGGCTCGGACACTGATAAAGCCTCGTGAGGTACATGAGTTGGGTGAGGCAGAGTCTCAGGGAGTCACCAGGGTGGGGAGAGTTGTAGTCACTGGGTTAATGTAGATTCTGGTTTGGTGCCAGTGTTGAGCCTGGAACCACTCAGCAAAAATCTCAGAGCACGCTGAGGCCAGTCAATGCCTACCTGAGTCCCACAGACTGCTGAGAGTTGTCCAAGAAAGAGTGCAATGTGGGTAGGCCTAGCTACTAGCTAGAAATTGCCTCTGGGTTGGCTGAGTTGGGTGGGGTGGGGTTCTAGAAAGTCACCAAGGTGAAGTGAGCAGAACTCACCAGAGCAATTCAGATTCAGCTTTGGCTATGGACATGGGGGGAGGGATCAACACAGGAAAGATGGCACCTGCCTGCAGGCTGCACAGGACGAGGACCCCACACAGTGAAAATGTCAACTGTCCCTCCAGTCCTTGCCCTGAAGCCACACAACTCAGTCTCTCCCCATGTTTCTGATGCCTGTTCCCTCTGCTGGAGCCCAGGGTAAGTGCATGCGAGCAGGTGAATCTATGTGCAGGCCCTTTAAGAGGATGTCTGGATTTCCCACAGCCTCCTGTCCCATCCATCCAGTCAGAATTCCCACTACTTTTCAGAGCCAGGTGTGGAGGCCCCTCTTCATGGCACTGGTACTCCAGGCTGGGGAGCCTGGTGTGGGGCCGGGGGGAACCTCTGCAGCTGAGATATCCCTTCTGATTGTCAACCGCCACACGCTGGTGTGGAGCCGGCCCATTCCATGTCTACAGTCCTTCTACCAAACTAGACATGGCTTCTTCTTTATATTCTTAGCTATAAAACTTCTGTTCAACAGACTTCAGATGGTTCTCCAAGTTGACTGTTCTACAATTTAGTGGTAATTTTAATGTGTTCATGGGATGAGGCAAGCACAGTGTTTATCTACTCTGCTATCTTTGAACTCATGGCCTTTTCTTATGAAATTAAATATTCGTTTACCATACGACCCAGTAATCCCACTCTTAGGTATTTACCCGATACTAATGAACACATACATCCACACAAAGCTCTGTCCATCCATGTTTACAGCAGCTTTATTCCTAATAGCCAGAAATTAGAAACAATCAAAAAGTCCATTCAATGGTGAACGGATAAACAAATTGTGGAACACCCATATCACCCAGCAATGAAAGGGACACCTTGAAATCCAAATCCATACAGAATTATCCTATTTTATATGCTATTCTGGAAAAAGTAAAACTATAGGGACAGAAATCAGATCGGTGGTCGCCAGGAGTTAGTGATGCCACTAGGTGTGTGTGTGGGGTAGTGGTGGTGGTGGTAGGAACCAATGACAAAGGAACATGAGGGAACTTTTTGGTGCTCATGTATTTTAATTGTGGTGCTTGAACAACTGTGTTTATTTGTGAAAAGTCATTGAATCGTACTGTACATCCAAGAAGGGGTTATTATTGTATGTAAACTATATTGTATTAAACTGATTTCTAAGAAAAAGAAATATATATTTTATGTGCCCTATGTAAAAAAAAAACTACTGCACCATATGAAGTCATAAATAAATGTACTAAAAATATGAACCTGGAGTTGTGGTAAAAATTTGAATAAGTAGTGAAATAGATACATAAAAAAATTTGACATATTATTAGTGAAAGACTCACTAAACCATAACTAACTCTTGCTTGTGGTGGCCAAATTTCTTATTCTGTTGAAGATGCACTGTGATTTAGGGAGTACTAAAATGTAAAATCATTTAAACAAAGAGTTATGCTGAATATAGTTGATGTTCAGAGGAATTTTGGAAGGTCAAGGGGATGCTTACAGTTGAGGCGCAGAGTATAACAACGATCCAGGACAGAAGTGGGAAGAAACAGCTAAAGGCTGGAGAAGAACCAGAGAGTACAGTAACATAGTTAAAGTGTTGCAAAAATTTGTCATTCATCAATCAGTCATTCATTTAGTGAAATACTGACTAAACATGTACTATGTGTTAGGCACTGTTCTAAGTGTGGGAGATACATTAGGCACTGTTCTAAGTGTGGGAGATACAGCAGTGGACAAAACAGACCACAATCCCTAACCTCAGACAGTCTCACATTCTAGAGGGAGGAGACAATAAACAAAATAAATATATGAAATGATATGTGTTAGAGTGAACAACAACAAAAAAGCAGGGAAGAAGGGCCGGCCGAGTGGTGTGTTGGTTAAGAGCTGGCTTGGGACGCCAGCTCTGAGCAGCAGAGCCCCATTTCGGATCCCACATGAGGGCCAGTGACGCTGCGCCCTCTACAGCTAAGATGGTGAACAACAACTCGACCTGGGGCTGGGCTGCCATGAGTTGTCGGCGATGGCATAGGCTACAATGGGTATGCAGTAGGCTGCAGTGGGGCTGCAGTGGGCTGCCGTAAGCTACTGTGTGTGGCTGGCAGCCAGCGTGAGCGGCCAGCAGCCGGTGTGAGCTGCTGTGAGCCACCGTGAGCAGCTGTCCAATGGCCAGCAAATGACTGCCTCACCTGGGAAGAATATAATGATAATACCAACATGGTCCAGTGAAGCGACATCCTCCACAACTAGACTGTAGAACAAAAGGACAGCAAGTTGTCTGTTCCCCTTTCCCATTCCCCAATGCTATTCCCCTCCTCCAACTCCCCAATCCCCAATAAAATCTTAAAAAAAAAAAGCTGGGAAGGGGAATATGGTGTGCTAGGGCAGAGGTCGGGGTTTCAATATTGAAAAGGGTGGTTAGAAAAGCCCTTATTGAGAAAGTGATATTTGAGAAAAGACTTGAAGAAGGTAAAGAAGCCATGGGGGTAGCTATTTTAAGGTGGGTGCTTTCAAACAATCATCATGGTGCACTCAGCTAACACCATCTACTGTACTTTGGTGAGACCCATTTAGCTTCCATAATGATGTAAAAAGATGCCATTTAATGTGATAACTGGTTATGACAGTTTATAAAAATGATTTACAGAATAAATATAATCTTCATTTCAACTGAACCAGAAACATCTGAAATCCAACTGAAAGAAAACCACACGCCTCAACTTATTTTTAACTACTACTAACCTTCCTCTTCTTTCTAACCTGCCCCTCTTTCAATTTTCATTATACATGATTCTGGAAAAGCTGAATGGCACAGTTTAATATTAATAAATTTTTGAGTATTATTAGTTGGGAAAGGGGTTTAGAAAAAAACAGGAGGAAATAGCCTATCCATATGAAAACAATAATCACATAATATTTATTGTCTGGGATTGAAATGTTTCAAATATGCAAAGCAATAAAATGTCAGGAAAAGCAAAACTTCCTAATGTTAAAAAGATCATAAATTTTTCCCCAAATAAGATGCATGAAAAAAATTCAGGTGATACGTTATGTCGAAGGAAAAAAATTCCCTTAATACTAAGTTAGAGCGGCCCCCGACCTTCAGAAGGCACAAGCTAGTCACTACGGAAGAGCTGAGGAGACAAGTTACTGTAAAGTACAGAACACTATGGGTGACTTTTTTTTTGAGAGTCACTTTTTAACATAAACATATTCACTGACCTGTGCATTCTAGAATTTGTACTTTTGCTGCCTCTTGAATGAAAAAAATATTTAATGTCAAAAAGTTAATGAATTTATATTTTATCAATCACAATGGCCCATACACACACACACACAATTTATATATATATATATATATATATATATATATATATATATATATATATATATACAGTAAAACCTTGGATTGTGAGTCACTTGGTTTGTGAGTGTTCCTCAAGATGAGCAAACATTTCTAATACATTTTAACGTGGTAAACGAGCGATGCCTTGCAATACGAGTAGTTTGTTTCCAGAACGAATTATGCTCACAAACCAAGGTATTACTGTACTTAAAACAGTGGCACCTGTATAGGCAAAACATGTTTACTTAATCTACAGATAATTTAATGTAAGTGGCCTCATGAGCCCCTTTCAAGAATTCCACAGTTCCCCATAGGTCCTTGACTCGCAGTATAGGAACTGTAGACTCCACCTTGATTGCTAGGCTTTTATAGGTGCTAAAAAATTTTTTTTTAAATGAATGAATGAAGGAGCAGAGATAAAGACATTTTCTTTGCAAGTTACTCTTGTGTGATAAACTGTCGCTTCTAGGTCACAAAAATCTCGTTATTTTCAGTCTAAATAGATCATCATATTTGCTTTAAGCTCAGGGGACATATTATTTCCATTACCTTTAAGGAAATTTCATCCTGAAATGCCTCACTGTCTTTCCAGTCAACTAGTGGGAGAACTAGTAGGTTTTCAAAGATGGTACTATATACAAAAATAGCGATTCATCTATAATTCTTTTTCAAGTTTGTAAAGATTTACGGTACAAATGACATTGAGGCTACCTCACTTTCTGAGGCCATTAGCCCCTGCAAACAAGACTAAAGTTACAATGACCAACTCATAAAGGCCACAAGACACCTGGTCCCTGAGACACTATTTGTCCTTGAAAAAAAGGCTGTGATCATCTGAAATTTGGCAGATACGCAGCCAAAGTCAAACAAGCATCAATAAGAGATAGAGACTTAACAACAAACTGGATTCTGTACTTCTCTTTAAATGAATATTTTTCCTATCAACCAATTAACAAATGTTTATTGAACACCTAATATGTGCATATGGTGACTACAAGACTTGCCCTCAAGAAATTCTTACTCTAGTGCAGGCTACGAGACACATGAAGAGAAGATGAGAGACACTAAATGGGAAAGAGACGGACCCACAGGCACATTAGAAGTGCAGAGGCAGCAGAAGGTACTAGGTATGCACTGAGGCCGGCAGGATGGATTCTGGGAAAGGGTTAGGGGAGGGGGCCACCATGAAAACCTAGGAAAGAAGGGCAGACTGATTTTTCATACTGTTAACAGAATACGTGACACTACGTATTATAGGGACAGGCACCTGGTGGCTTGGCACGTCTCCATGTAGGCCACGTAGGTAAGGTTCCGCCACCATCTGCAATCACCCCAGGGATGGTGAGACGGCCAGTCCTGGGATGAGATTCCACAAAGTAGTGTCTCTGCCTCCCTGGTTTTGGTGAGGACAGGGCCCTCCACCTGCATCTGCTGGGTGTGGACACAAACTAACAAGCTGCTTGGTGGGAGTTTGGAGTCGGAGCCTCACATGGCACAGTGACCCAGCACTCACGTCTTCTGTCGCCTGGCCCCTGTGGTTTGGTAGCTTCCTGTGGGATTCGGAACATGGAAAGTTGGCACCATGATGATCTTGCTCATGCTGCTGTGTAAGTAACAAACTGCCCAAACCCATTTGGACTCATTGTCTCTTCACAGTCAGACCTATGGAAGTGGCAGGCTCACCCACGAGCGGCAGTAGTCACATCTGCTCAGGGACTGCTTGACGGGCACATACAGGTCAGGGAGGAGTGCTGAGAAGTGGCCAGTGTACTGGTAGGTGAACGAATTTCCTCCAAGTAATGTAGTTGGAAGAAGTTAATCATCACCATTGAGAAAAGAAAGCTGCAGGTACGTAGAACCACTGGCGGGGATTCTACACTGCTAGTTGGGATCTTAAAGGACACACCTCAGAAAGTGACATGTCCTGAGGCAGAACAGACCCAGGGTGGAATTAAAAAAGCTGTTAACAACTGATGAGAAAGAAAAGAAATCATCATTTCTAATTCAAATGGTGCTCAGCAACTTTCGTTCCACTTTCTTCTTTAACTCTGTCCATCACTCCCCAGCAAGCATGCAGGCAAACATCCTGGGCTTGAAGAAACAGTGGCTGTATCATAATTAATGAGCCAACCCTAAAGGATGCATTTGTACAAAGTTCCAAGGGACAGACGACCAGATGTATTTCTGTATCTGCCACTGCAAACACATGTAAACAAGATGGGGATTACTTTATAACACGAGAGAAGTACGTTGCATGAAAGCATAAAATAGTAGCCTAGGTAATTAGAGCCTGCTGGAGAAACCCCGTAAACCAGGCCTTCACAAAGGCGAGGCTTTGTGCACATGGATCTTTGAGGAAGTTTTTCTCGTAATTTGTATAGGGATTCTTGGCATGCGCATTGATCATATGTATTTATCTTAAGGTTTAAGACATTATAGAGGACTTGGCATCATTCTATATAATTATGCTCTATTACGCATTATATGATATTCTATTATATACACAATACTTGGCCTTAGAGAAGGAATGTTAAGTTCAAATGAAATTTTCTCGTAATCAAGTTTTTAGGGTACTGAGAAGTGCTTCTAGGTTCAGGGCAGCGATTCTCCTCCACGTGTTATTGAGAAGTCTTTCGCACACGCCACGCTGTGTGACAGTGGTGAGGGCACGCGCTCTGGGGTCAGAGTCCTGGGTACGGATGCCAGCTCCACCTTGGGGACCTCTGCGGAAGGCACGGAGCCTTCAGTTCCTCAGTTTCCTCCCTACTGCCTAAGGCCACCAGGGAGAGTAATAGTGCATATCTTGTAGTGGAGTTGTGAGAATCTAATGAGGCAACCCACACAGAACACTTAACACACAGGGTGGCACGCGGTGTGCTCTAATTATGATGTCAGGTTTAGTATTAAAATGCTGATAAAAATCCATCACCATTTTTAACAGCAAGTAAAGTGGTGCCTGGTATAAGTCAAATCATAGAAGTAATCATCTTGATTTCTCCTGGATATTTTTCTATTTTTATTTTCCTTGGAGAAAAATGAGAATAGTGAATATTGGGGGGTGATGAGCAGCAAAGGGAACACAGATATAATGCTCTATACAGAACTACAGTGGTTTCCAACAATGAAATACTGTATGTGGGTTTCTCGTGACTTTGTAGGAATTGATTGTTTTAAAATATGCTTCAATTGCCAAAATTCCCATGACTTATGACAGCTTGAATATTTGATATTTTGTCCCAGAAAATGAATGCAAGTCTCTTTCTTTTTTAAAGGGCTACGGTATCACTATCCTACTCACAACGTTAGAGACTTGCTTGAAGAGATACGACTTTTTAATATTTGACTTTTTAAAGGCATCTGGCCCTTATTTAACCATCACATTTACATCCAATTCCTGCAGGCATGGTTTTGTTGTTTAAGCTTGGCTTGATGCCCTCTGCAGAAAGCTTTCGCTTTAATGAACTAAAACTGCTAGAGTCCCCTTACCCCCTGTAACAGTAGAATAAGAGCATGCAGTTTTAGCTTGGCTTTCAAATAAGAAGATAAAAATAAGAAAATAAATTGCTGAACAATCAGCTTTATGTGGGGGCCACTGCTATGACATATTCAACTTGATGCCCTTATATTATTTGCAGAAGTGTTTATGTACTATGAAATGTTCAGCCAGAGCATACAGGAAACTGTAAAATATTTTATGAGATGTATACATGGTTGATGGTAAAATTTTAAATGCAACCTGGGAAGGTTCTATCTAAATTCCAGGAGGGCAGATGAGGGAATACTTTCTCTGTAGTCATTCAGTTTTACACTAGGGGTTATATGAACCGGAAAGAAATATCTGATTTGGGAACTCTATAAATTTTTTTTCATAAAATTAAACTTTATATAATTTCTAGACAAGTAAACTTGTTTTCTTTCAGATCAAGAATCCCCAGTTATGTATATTTGTCTTCTACATGGTAAAAGCATTAAACATGGATTGTTTATAATTTTATAGAAACAAAGAATAAACAAAAATAAATGAAAAATTCTTCCCAGATATAGGAATTATATACATGGCTTAAAAAATATTTGTGCTTCTGATGTTTTTTTAAATAAAACTCTTGGTTCTAAAACTGGAACAGTACTTTTGAATCTCAATTATTGCACTATGTGAAGGCAGGAAGGTTAGAGACATGGCCTTAAAATGGCATTTTCAGAAAGCAGCATTTCCAAATTTAGATGAAGGGAGAAATAGTTCTGTTTCCTTTACCCTCAAATCTATGAGACAGTGTCAATTTCCCATCAGAGAGGCTATTTATTTACTTATTTGTTCGTTTTATTTATTTTCAAATTTGATCTCCAAAACACAAGGCTACAAAAGTAGCAACGATTTCATGTATTCACATTTGCTTTAGAGTTAAATCTGAGTTTTTGTTTGTTTTGTTTTATAGCATCTACCTCATTAAGTCATTGTGAGGATAAATGGAATACCAGAGGTTAAGGTTCCTGACACAAAGTAGGTACTCAAAGAACGCTAATTCTCCTCTCTTGCTTACAGACCTTGTTTTAAAAAATTGATGTGTAGTTGACATAACAGATTATTTAATTAAGACCACAGTCTCTTTGAAGAAAATTTTAATATAACAGTTATGTGTCCATAATTAGTATCATTTAAAAAAATAAATTTAGGTTATTGTCTAAGATAAACATGCCATAAAATTCCAACAGTATGGTGGAGTATACTATTAGACTGCGAGTTAGGGACCTTGGATCTGGCCTCTGGTCTGTCACTGACATTGAGTGATCTTAGGAAAGTCAATTTCCCTCTGTAGGCCATGTTTTCTCATCTGCAGAATGAGTGGTTGTTTTCAATGATCTTTAAGACTATTTTCTGTTCTGACATTTTATGATTCTACATAATATTTTAATCTTTAGAGAGAAATTTATTGAAGTCACATTTTCTGAAACTTTCCTTCTATGAATTTTTGTTTTTGTTCTACATTTATTGCCTAAGGAAATTTTGTTTCACTTCTAATTTAGTGCTGTGAAAAGAGTCAAAGAAAGAACCTAACGGTAGAAAAGAAAAAAAAGAATTAAAAATATTAACATTGAGCAATTATGGGGACATCTAGGCTGGTTCGGGACAGACATTAATGACCTTGTTTTATTCTAAATTCAGCTCACTGGCTTCTGATGAAAAGTGAAAGGTTATTATATGGACTTACTGGGCAAAACCAGATTTTATAAATAATTACCTGTCAGACTGTTCAAGATAGACAAACACACGCCAGACCAACAAAAACACAGACCTGTCATATTTCTGAGAGAAATGTACGTTGAGTCTTCCTTCTCTGGGACTATAAGGAGATCAGGTAGAATAAAATGAAGAGGAAAAACCTAAACCCTGTATTTTCTGCCTTGTGCATACTTTAAAATGTAAAATGTGGGAGAGAAGGAATTTTGATGTGAAAAATTAGCCCCTGAAAATTTTATACATCAATAAGCCTGGCAGATCGAAACCAAATACAATAAATGCTGTCGTTTTAAAAGTTAGGATGTTTACTGCAAGCTTATAATTTTCTATGATTAGGGACGCCAAGAAAAATAAGAATGATGATAAAAAGAAAAGTTTAATCATACATTTCAGCAAGCACAGATGGAACATCAAAACCCTTTGGAAATTTTTTGATATTATATATCTGCGTTTTTTGTTCCTGACACAGAGATTTTTTCCAGAAGGACTAACACAGAACAGGTAAGTGATAGCTAACAAATGTGAATAACATGGCACAATCATATTAAGTGAACTTCACAATGATTCGGTCATAAGATGAAAATCTTTCATGCTTCTCACTTCTGTTTTCCTTAATTCTTTACAAAGGCTGATTCAGTGTGTGTAAAAACCATGATAAAAGTAAAATTACACAAAAGCTCTCCAGAATTAAAGAAATAAATTTTTTTTCTTTGCAATTCAAGTTTAATCAGGAACTGTACGGTTACATCTACTCTGTTTTGGTTTGTTCCCAAGAGTTAAAGTTCCTCACGCCAGCTGCTACCAGCAAGAAGTGACCCAGCCTCCGTTTCCAGTCTAGGTGTGGGAGTGCTCTGAAGGGAGGAGAACGCAAACATGCGGCTCGCCTTCCTCTCCTGATTCTGATTACTTTGCTTCTAAACGGGTCTGGCATGTGTGTGGGCAACGGGCCTGGGGGCTGGAGGCACTGGGCAAGACGTGAAGATGAAGGAAGAGGATCTACACGACGGAAACACACGCGTGACAGGCAGACACGCAGGACCTTGGGAAGAAGGCATGAAAATGACATATAGACTGGCTATGCAGGGGGTGCCAAAAAATGGATACACGTTTTAAGAAAGGAAATAACTATTAAAATTGCCCTACTCAGTATATACCAATAACAAAAGATGAAAACAAGTCACGTCTGACTTCTGCAATGACAAGAGGTGCTCAAAGTGGTTAGCGTCAGCGTCCAGACACTTCTGATTATGGCCAACTACTGCTTGAACAACGCTGATCAAAGTGTCCAGTTGTGTACATTTTTTTGGCACCCCTGGTATAAGTGGGGTGAAGGGAAGATGGGAATAGTTCATCAAGTCAAGTAGTGTGAGTTTATTATGAAATGGATGTTTGTCTCTAAAATACATGTACAAAGACAACAAAAGTCGGAAAGTTGGTGGGATAGTGCAAAGGGAAAACTGACTGTCCTTTTAATTTTGTTTCCTTTGTCCCAAACTTGGATTACAAAATGCATCATGTAAAACATAGACTAAACACTGAAAAAAAAAAAGAGAAAGAAAGAAAAAGGCACGGCTTTTAAGATATGTGAGCTGAGGGCAGTAAATCCATTCTAAATTAAAATTTCAAAATTGTGTGATCTGCATTCTTGTCCACCTACACACTATCCCAAACATCCTGCCATTAATTAGCTAAAGGGCCCATCTAGTAAACAAGACAGAGCGTGAGGGGGCTGGAAAAGAACTGGAGTCAGCCTGTTGATAGTCACAACAAACCAACCCACTCCTGAGGATACAGACAAGGTAAACTTGTGTTTTATTGTGTCCAGAGAGGGGAACAGGCATCACCTTAATGGAACACTGCCTCCTTTCCTGTCGTTGGAATCCCATCTCCATCAGCAGGCCAGAAAAGCCATCCCATTCCTGCGGTAGGCACTCTGTCAAAGAAAAAGAAATCTGCAATGAATTATCACATCGAGTCAAACCAGGAAAGGAGTCAAAAAAGCAAGCAGAGCTTTCTTCCTGTTTTGTAGACTCTGCTGGCTGCATTCTAATAGGGTGCTTGATATGGACGTTTCTGGTGGCAAAGCTATGGCAACCACTTTGTCTATTAAAGTCAGTGTGGTTAACAAGTGGTTAGTGATTCTATTTTGGGGGAGTGGAAGATATGCAAAATAAGACATCCGATTTTGTTAATTTATTGGGCTTGGTTAGGCCAAGGACATGTTGTGTTGAATCTGTTTGTCCTTTATAAACATGTGTTCTCTATTGGACATGCTCAAGAATCATGTCTAAGTATCTTAATAGTCTATAAATTACCAACTCATTATAGCCTTCCCAGGCCTGATTTACAGTCACAGTGAAAAGGTATGGGAACAGACACTAATGGAGGCCTTTGCTCCCCACTGAAATATGGTGGTCTCGAAGAAGTTCTGTACATTACAGACAGTATAGAAAACTTGGATCTTACATGATTTTATATACAGACATGCACAGATAGTGGTAGATATGGATATTCATGATGGGACAAAATAGTCCCATAAAAGAAAATGGGAAAATGGATACTAATTACAATTATATAATATGTTCCAGTAAAGAGAGTAAAATTGCATGATTTTTCATCCCCGAGATATAGTCTACATTTCAGAGTGAGCAGAGCTGGGTACGGGGTCTTTGTGACTTGTCCTGAGTTGTACAGTGAGACCCAGAGTGAAACTGAACTAAAATCCAGGACTTAGGAACAAAATTACCCTTTCACCCACCATATTTTTCATTATTTAAACGAGGAACAGTCACATTCAGAGAATTCATAACCCTCAATTAGATGGAGTTTTTCTATAATCTGTTTTCAGAAAAATGGAAAAAAAAATGACAAAATCCTACTGAGTTGTCAGAAAAGTCATGATGCATTTTTGCAATGAAAAAACACAGAAAAAATATGTCATGACTTTTCCAACAACCCAATATATCAGGGATTGTTTTTCTTTAAGCTTATAACTCTGGGGCTGTTTTGGAGTCTGTCTACTTTCAGTCTAATACATTTACCTCCATCAGCCACATGATAGAAAATAGAGAAGAAGCTTATGTGATTAAGATAATGCTATGGATGGACTATAGTGTTTAATTCTAAAAAGAATGATGAAAATACATTTTTAATTACACTGAAAAAAGGGAAAGTGAACCCCAAGCTTTTTAGGAAGACTTTTACCAACATGAGGAGAAACAAAACATGGTTTTTTGGATAACTTTCTGTGAATCATAAAATTCAATCAACTTCAAAACCATCCCTTGAAATATCCTGCTTGCACAGGATTTACTATGGTTGTCAGGCTTTGGAGCCCTGGCTGAAATTTCAGCAGTCGGTTATGCTGCTACACAGCTCACTCTGGGTCAGCGTATCAAAGTGGAGCGAACAGGGGCGCGCTCCACGTTTCACTCCTCAGGGCTCTCTCTGTGAGCTTGCTCCTGACACCAGGCTTTTTGTGCCACTGAACACTTCTGGATCGAAGCAAACCTTCTAGCAAGGACTAGAAAATTCCAGTCCTACCTCCAAAGACCGTGCACTGGAGAACAGTGGTAAATGAGCTCCTCAGAGAGCCACAAATAACTTGCAAGAATGGGTCGAGTGTCTTCCCACAACCACAGGCAGGGGCGCCTCAGGCTGTGAAAGAGCCCCCACCACCAAGGCTGCCTTTGGAGAGCCTCATGCCAAAGTAACACTTTCAGCTTCTCGACCTTGGTCTTTTAAATTGTACAACCACAGCGACAACCTTTAACATAACATACTGTTTAAAACACAGGGATGGTTTACATGGAGATAAATGGACCTGGGAGGAAAGCTGGATTTCTCTTAAAGGTAAAGGGCTGAAGTGAGCCTTGCTTGAAAAAGAAATCTTGGCTCAGGAGAAGTGTCTTGGCTGAACCCACGTGAGAAATCACCACGTTGAATCTTTCCAGAGTGTGCCATATGAAATGGTTCTCTCTAGGACTGAAAAGTCTACTTTGCAAAGATCAATTCACCATCGCAGATGTTGTATCATTCTGGTTTGCAAACAACTAAAAGATTACAGGCTTATTTAATAATAGATCCTCAAGTAGCTAAGTTTAATGAGAAAAATCACATTTTAGAGCCAACCCAGATTTCTGGAATAAGTTCTTCCTATTCGAATTCGAAAACAAAGAAGGAACAAACATGCATGTGTAATTAGTGAAGAGCAATTTCGGCAAACAAGTCCCCTAGGGTCCTCCGCCCGAGTCACTGCTTTTCCCTTTTGATGTACAAAGGATGTATGCTGTCTGTGTAGGACGATTATGGGAACGTTGCAGACTTGGCATCCGTTCCCGAGTAAGCAACTTTAAAGGAAGATGGATGAAGACAACTCATCTTTGTGTCAACTGTGAATTTCTCTTTATTTGTGTTGCGAATGTTGAAACTAAATTTAAACACTGCTTGGTGTGAGGGCCTTCCAGAGGCCACATTCTCACGAAACACTTTGTATCCCGCTTACTCTCTACTGTCAGATTCTGTGATCTCCAGTTCGGTATCTTCACAGACATTCTGCAGACCTTGACCACAAACAGTCAGGACCACACCCCACTACTGAAAAGTATAAATTAATCAATAACACAATTAGACTTACAACTAACCAGCTCCTATATGCCACTCAAGCTTTATTTCTGATTTAATAAAGCTCTGCACTCAACTAGTTGCCCCATGTGAATTTATTGAATAGCTCAGACATTTTAGCATCTCTCAAAGCTTCCAGCAAAGATGGTGCTTAGTTTTTTAAGGACCAATTGTAATTCCCAAGTTTTTTTTTTTTTTACTGAGGATCAAGCTAGCTCCTAATTTTTGACATTCATTTATTCATTTAGCCCCAAATTACGACCTGTTACCAGAACCTCAATACACCTGCATAAGCAGACAGAGGTTCTATCTACTGCACTGGGCACTGGTGGAGCCATTAACTGCTAACTGCACTTTCAAAATAGAACTTTCTTGTTTTGCTTATCTGCATATGAATAAGCTAGAGAAAACATTTAAATCCCAAAGTGGTTAACTTCCGCCTTTTGTGTGGGTCATCATAAATTGTACATTTTAAAGAACGCAAATTAACATTACAAAGCAAAAGATTAATATTTATCTTAAGCAAAAGAGAAATATTTAACAAAACATACCTTGTCATTCTAAGTTGAATATGATTGTATTATTAATGCCAAAGCCTAATTACTAAAGCTTAAACTAGATAAAACCTCTCCTCCCCCCAGTTAGACTTATATATTATTCTCATTACTATCTTTCCTGATTCCTTTCTGCTTTCTTAAGCTTTAAATAAGATAAAACAATTTCATTGTAGGGTCTGACATCAGCAAGACGGCAAGCTAGAAGGTCTCAAAGGTCATCTCCCCACAAAAACAATAAATAAACAACTACAAGCATGCAAAAACAGCTCTGGGAAAGCTCTGAAGAAAGAAGCAGAGCCCTGTGGAGCTCAAAAACCAAGCATGGCCACATAGAAGTGTGGGAAGCATTTTACCTACATCACCAAGTTTAAAGCAGCTCAGTGCAAAGAGGGACTCCCTCAGACGAATTTCATGCCACAGGAAAAGAGAAACAGGAGCGCCTCAGAAAGTCTCGTCACGGCTGAGGACATTTGTAGCCTTTGCTACTGAGGGCCTGCGCCCCTGCCCTGGTCTTCAGCAACACCGAACCCAGCTAATGGAGCTGTGTGGAGCCCCCACTGCTGCATCTCCTCACTGGGACTAGGGCCTGTTGCTGCTGTGAGACCTGCCCCCAGGGGCTGCACTTGATGCTTTGCCCACTCTCTGGATTGGGATGCCACAACACCTCACCATCTATGGGACAGGAGCTGCTGCTGCTCTGTGTCCTGCCTCTGGGATTCTAAGGCGCAGCTTTGACCCACCATCACCAGCTGTGCTAATACAGCTGCTGCTCTCTGGCCCAGCCCTGGGTCCTAAGTCATGGCATCAACTTGCCATCCCTAGGTAGCACTGTTTCAGCTTTGTGCTCCATCCCTCGGGTCCTGAGTCATGGCTTTGAAGTGGCATCACGGATGCTGAGTCGCTGCTGCTCTGCACCTTGCCCTCTGTGGCCAGAGTCAGGACTTTGACCCACCATCCCCAGGGCATGCTGCTGCTGCACCCTGCACCCTAGCCACCACTACCCCTGTGATCCCATGACCTGTGTCACTACTGTGTCCCATCTTGGGGTCCAAACACTGTGGCAAGTCCCAGAGACTCAGAACCCAGTTCCTTGGGAGATCTGAACATGCGCACCTAAGACACTAGAGCATTACCATTGTAATGAGTACATCTGTGCCCCAGGACCCAGGCATATGGTAGCTCCATATGTACCTGTCCCTAGGACCCTGGCAGCTCTGAGTGCCAGTGCACCAGACCTGGAGCCAAGAGGGATCACCTTGGCTAGAACTTCCACTCACAGGCGAAAAAGGACAAGACGACCTCAGCAGCCCCTGCCACTGAGGACCCCTGCAGTCTTTGCCAATTTAGACCTCGGTTGATGGAGCTGTACAGAGACTATCCCATTGTGTCCTCCCCAGAATGAGAGATGCTGCGCCCCACCCACCCAGAGCCCTCATAGCCACCTTCAGGTGAAAGACTTTCTCAACCAAACTCAGTCCAAAAAAGCTAGAATAGGTGACTGCCCTCTCAGATGCACAGACATCAATGCAAAGCCACTAGAAACATGAAGAAGCAAGGAAGCATGACACCCCCAAAGGAACTCAGTAATTTTTCCAGTACCTAACCCCAAAGAAATGGAGATCTATCTGTGTTACCTGAAAAAGAATTAAAAATAATTATTTTAAGGTAGTGTAGTGAGATTCAAGAGAACACAGACAGCTCAATAAACTCAGGAAAACAATGCATGAACAAAATGAGAAGTTCCACAAAGAGA